TAAGGCTCAGTTTCCTCATCCATGAAATGGGGCAAAGCCACCAGCTCTGCCCAGTAGAGTGACAACCTGGGACGAGTACAAAACTAAAGTTCACATTACTAACATTTGATCAACAGACTCACCAACATGAGGATTCCACTCTCAAAGGTTCCTTCATTGACTCTAAGATTAACTAGATCCACTTGGCCCCAAGGCCAGCAGCCTCAGCACTTATCCATGCAGAGGCTTCCTTGCCTCATTTCACATCCCTGTTACAGTTGCATCATCTTTACATACCATATCATGTCATTTACAAAGCAGTTCCTATAGGTCCTGAGATAAAATGAGTCAAACCTTGAAAGAATACCTGAAAGGCGGTACCTATAGAAATCTAGAATAAGCCAGGCTCGGTGGCTCAGCCTGTAATCCCGCACCTTTGGGAGGCTGAGGTGAGTGGACTGCCTGAGCCCATGGGTTCGTGAACCGCCTGGGCAACTTGGCGAGACCTTATCTCTACAATAAATCAAAAAATTAGCCGGGCGTGGTAGCACGCGCCTGTAGTTCAGCTACTCAGAAGGCTGAGGCGGAAGGATCGCCAGAGCCTAGCAGGTCGAGGCTGTGGTGGCCGGGAGCGGCCACTGCACTCCAGTCTGGGCAACAGAGTGAGACTCCAACTCAAAAAAAAAGAAATCTAGAATAAACTTAGCTTAGTGTAGTCTTTTTGCCTCAGCATAGTCATTTTTGCTTAGACTTTACCCCTGACATGCTTTGAATTCAGCACAAGTTGGACATAAGATAAATTTCCTATATACAGGTTTTAGGAGGCGTGCAGACATGTTATTGCAGGCCAAGCGGCAGCCTACCCTACCCCCTCAGCAAATCTCCATCAGATGCAAGACAAGGACAGAGTCATAGAAATAACAATAGACCACCTTTTGGCCAAGGAGTTTGTGGATTGCTAACGTTGAACAAGTCTCTTGAAGGAAAATGCCCTTACCTTGTCTACTTCTATCCAGTCTACCACCGGAGGGCATGAGATGCTAATGTCTAGCTGGGTCAAGATCTAAGACTCTTGGGGCTACAATCAACATCAAAGACCGACAGCCCTGGACATTCCTCTGGGCCTAAAACCCCTTACCCCAAAGGCCCTTAAATATAGCCAGTTCTTGGCCCTTTGAGGCCACACTTGCCTCTGAGTGTCAGATTCTTTTCCAATCTGTGAAAGGCGGATAATAAACTTTACTTCTTTCTACTGTCTTCCTTGTTGCAATCTTGCATTATTCCCGCTGGCACCGGCACCGGCCCACCTCCCCTTAGTGAACCCTTTCAATACCCAACTCCAGACTCCCAGGTAATGATGTGAATTTTAAATAAGACAACATGCAGTAAAAACAAGATAGAGAGGAACTGTCTGCCTTAAGAAAGAAGCCCCTGGTCCAGCTCTATGGCTTATGCCTGTAATCCTAGTACTTTGGAAGGCCAAGGCAGGAGGACTACTTGAGTCCAGGAGTTCGAGACCAGCCTAGGCAACATACTGAGATGTCATCTCTACAAAAAAAATCAAAAAAATCAAAAAAATTAGGCATGGTGGCACACACCTATAATCCCAGCTACTCGGGAGGCTGAGGTGGAAGGTTCACCTGAGTCCAGGAGTTGAGGCTATGATGAGCAGTGATTGTGCCACTACACTCCAACCTGGGCAACAGAGACCCCAATTCAAAAAAAAAAAGAAGCTCCCTTAAAAGCACTTACCCTACTTAGTCACCTGGGTCCGAAATGACCAACACCCTCTTCCCTGAAACTTCTATGATCACAATCAGAAGAGGAACCAAAAAGCAGTTCAATTACACTTCACTCAACTGAGATAACAACAAAAATTTCACAGATTTCTTTTAGAACTTGCTGTAATGCATATCGTTTTGAAGATATTTTCCTAAAACACTTCTAAGTTATTTTTCAAAGCATTAAACTTTATAAATAAATTCAACAACGGATTCTCCCCTTCCTTTAAAAACTTCTATATTTAAGATAACAGTTTGCATGTAGTTATGTTTTTCAAATCCAAAAGGTTAATATGGAGAAGCTACTGGTTCAGTCCAGAGTGGGGAGAGGGAGGGAAAGGAAGGGAGAGGGAGGGAAAGAGGGAGAAAAAGAGGAAGGGAGGGATAGAGAGAGGGGAGGAAGGGGAAGAGGGGTTGGGAGGGATAGAAGGAGGAGAAGAGGGGGAGGGAGGGGAAGAGAATAGGAACTCAAAATTTAGCTCCATCAGAAAACTTAGAAACACTACTTTAGTACATGCTGGGTGGAGTACCCACACTAAAAGTCACTGCCCTGCAGTGAGCAGTCTTTCACATATTACAGAATAGATTTATGTTAAACCCTACAAACTGAAATACTTATAGTAGGGAATGTGTAAGTTATTATTCATTCAAGTTCTGCTTTTCTGATTACCAACCACGTGCCAGACACAAGTGACACTCTAGAGATGCAAGCATCAGATACCAGCTCTGTCCTCAAGGAATGGACAGTGTGGCTATTTAAGTGCTGGCACCTGCCAGTTCCTAGAATGGAGAGCATGTTTTTACAGACAATGCTAGGGGACTGGTGTAGAACACAACCACACCATGGTCTGCTTGCCACCTCCTGGACCTCCCGACACCCACCACCCTGGGCTCTTTTGCTGGCATCTTCTCTTTCCTGCCCACACTCAGATGCTGAGTGACCTCATCTGATGTGGTCATAGACTCAAAAGCACATTTCCAAATCCTTACATTCAAAAGCCCCCTGGACATCACTACATAGATATCTAACAGGCACCTCACATTCGACATGCATAAATCCAAACTCCCAATAGATACCGCCACCAGACAGGACCGCCCCTCCCCAACAAGTCTTCCCATCATAGTTTCATAACACAGGCCACACACCTTGGGACCATCTTTAACTCCTCCGTTTCCACCTAGCCCTCTCCCAACTTCCTATCTATAAACAAATCTTATTGTCTCAATCTTCAAAACACATCCAAAATTAACTTCTCCCCCACTTCCTGACCTAAGCCTCCATCTCTTTGCCTGGTTTATTCCAACAGTCTCCTCATCGGTCTCCTTGCTTCTGCCCTTACCCCTCTGCAGTATATTCTCCACAGAGATAAAAGAGCGAGTCTATTAAATATAAGGCTGCTCATGTTAGTCCTCCTCTCAAAACCTTCCAGAGGGTCACAATCCCAGTCAGATAAACACCTCTATCCTCACTGTGACCAGCAAGGTCCCAGGACTGGGCCTAAGTACCTCCCTACTGCCCAAAGCTCCTGCTTCTTTCACCCTGGCTGTGCCAGCCTCCTTGCTGCTCCTAAATCAGCCCACTTGCCCTTCCTCCTGCACTGCTTTTGGATCTTGGTCAGAACCTAACCTTCGAAGTGAAACCTTTCCTGGCAGTCCTGCCTACAATTCTAATCCCCACCCTGCTTGGTCCACGTCACTCTCCCACAAGAGCCACAAATTTGGCTCTTTACTGCTGGTCTCATGTCTAGAACTCCAGCTACCCCAGGGCAGTGGTTTTTGTCTATTTTGTTCAATTCTAATGCCTCACACACACCTGGCACTCGATCAAATAATCTATTGAATGAATGACTATAAGAACAAACAGAAACTGTAATGCACATGGTTAAGGAATGCAGACTCTTCAAGGATTCTAGGATCTGGAGGGTGGACCATCAATCATCCCTGAAAAGACATACCATATTATGTCAGAAGGAACACTCCCCCACCACATCCTAAAAACATCATTTATGTTTTCATCAGCATAAAGGCCTTCAAATGCAAATACAATTTCTACTTTGATCCCACAAGTAGCTGCATTCAGTGTTCTATTAAAGTATCATCAAGTGACTACACAACTTTATTACTAACTTGAATACGATGATGTTCAAACAAGTTCAAACAAACTTCACAAACATATACATCTGGTCAACATGCTCCTTGGGGAGTTAGGGCTCCTGTTTCCTCCAGCCACATAATGCATTTAAGTGATGAGATGCCACAAATTATAGAAATAATATTAGCCATAAACATTACAGTTTCCAAACTAAGACCTTAGTAAATTTATGTTGCAGCTGCCAGGAGCAGAAAAAACAAAACCAATGCCACTCAGGATGACAAGTAGATAAACCAGAAAAAAGTCTTCCTTTACGGATGGGAGATACTTGAAGTAAGGCAAATCAATTCCTATAAGAAATGAAAGAACTAAAGCTGTGTTCCTAGGGCTATCAGGCAAAAATGGACTTGGTATTAACTCAAGTCTCTGAAATATCTTGCCAGCAAAAATGAAGGGACTGACCCCTCTTGAGCGGAAACATGAACAGATAGGCAAAAACATAAACACTTCTCCCTATACACACACTTTGTATCACAACCGCAAGAAATTAAGACGTGACGAGATGGATTCACTGTTTGTCTTCCCAGTCACAGAAAAGGAAGCTTGGAGGATCTACCGGTTGCTAAATTTTTTAAAGAAATGTGTGTGCCGTGAGTACCAGAACATGTTTCTAGCCTCCGATCTACCAATAACTTTAAAGTTAAAGAGTTTCCACTCCTTCACTCTCAGTTGGGGGGAAGGCCAAGCTTTCGCTGACCGCTCGCACCCACAGCCTGGAGTGCTGCAGCCTTCTCGGGCGCGCTCCGCAGGCCGCCGCCTCTCCCCTGCCCAGCAGGCCCCGCCGCCCTCCACGACCCGCCCAGAGTTCGGGCTTATCAGGCCCGTAACCTCCAGAGCGTTCCGAGCGAGACCGGAAAGCCACCAGAGGCTCCAGCGTGAGGACCACCAGATCTGCAGTGATGAGGCGCGGCACGTCGCCGCCGTCCTCCTCCTGCACCCCCGCACCATTCGAGCCCGCCGGCCAGCGCCCAGCCCGGTCCGCCCGGCACGCCCCGGAGCGAGTCGCGGCGCCTCGGACCCAGGAAGGGGAGGCCGAGGACGAGACGAGTGCCTCCCACGGAGGAGTCTGCCCCCCGGCAACTCCTCACCTGCGTCCATCTTCCCTGTCCAGCCGCCGACTGACCCGAGCGGCGACGCTCCTACCGGCCCGCAGCGAGACGCGGCGACGGGACGCCGCGGGGGCCAATCGGAACGCGGGCGCGGTCAGCCAAGAAGATCCGGCGCGCGGACGGAAGTGAGCAAAGCGGAAGTGAGCGGGAGCCGCCATTTTGGCGTACGGCCGGGCCACTGCAAGACACGAGGCGCTGCGCAAGCGACGTGGGGACGTCTCACGAGCCGGCGGCTCGCTCTGCTGTCCGACGGGACTACGCGCAGCGCACGGCGTTTCCTCCACTCTGAGGACCCAGAATTAACCGTCGAGACTTCAGAAGACGCCTCTGTTCCCGTTGGCGCGGCCATCTTGCCGTACGGACGAGCCCTGGCGCGCCCATGTCGCCGTACGGACTCGCCCAGCCGGGGCTGCTCTCCCACCGCCCGCCAGCCCGCCCGCCTACGCTTCGAGGGGCCGGCTGCGCCCCGCTGGCCCCGGAGACGCCAGAGCGCGCGGGGGGCGAGGACGCGAGAGGGGTCGGGCGGGCGGCGGGCGTCTGCGCCGCCATCTTGCCGTACGGCGAGGAAGCCGCGGGCCGGCCCACGTCCCGATCCGTGTCGCCGCCGCGCTCCCTCCCTCGGGGCG